TGAGTCGCCGAGAGTGAGTAAAACACCACCGTCGTCGTCGTCGTCGCCGCTGCCGTCGACGTGACCGTCGTCGTCGCCGGTGGTGGTAGTGGTGCCGGTGCCGTCGCCGGTGGTGTCCGTAGTAATAGTAGTAGTAGTAGTAGTAATAATAATAATAGTAACTGCGGTAGTGTGAGAGCCAGCCAGGAGGAGTGAGAGAGGCACCACCGGGACGCGAGAGAGACGGAGAGAAAAGGAAGACGGGGACCACGAGGACGGCGACGAGGCATCATCCCCATCGTCGTCGTCGTCGCTCGTTCGTCGTCTCCACGGTGGCAAGATAATATCCGGCCACCTGCTATCTGCCGGGACGTTCGTCGACTTGAATTTTAACACGGTCATCGGGAGCGCGCCGCATCATCGGCCGCGTGCGCGAAAGAGAGAAAGAGAAAGAGTCGGAGAGGAGCAGCAGCCGCAACGAAGGTCGCCGCCGGTCGGCGAGCAGCGCTCGTTGTCACTGCGAATCGTTCCTTTCGCGTTACACCCTTCTCTCTCTCCTTTCCTTCTCCTTCGTCCACGACTTCCCCGAGACTTCTCCTGCCCCTTTGTCACCTCTCTTTCCTTCTCCTCCTCCTCCTCCTCCTCTTCCTCTTCCTCCTCCTCCTCCTCCTCCTCCTCTTCCTCCTTCGCCGTCATCACCTCCTTAAAGGAGGATTCCGCTGTTCTGAGCCATGGCGGCGTGCTGCCTGTCGGAAGAGGCGAAGGAACAGAAACGCATCAATCAGGAAATCGAACGACAGCTACGAAGAGACAAGCGTGATGCCAGGCGGGAACTCAAGCTGCTTCTACTCGGTGAGTTTCGTCAATTTTAAAAAAAAAAAACAAGAAAAAAAAGTTAAAAAGGACTGGACAAAGCCGACCGAGTGCTATAAAAGTCGCTCGCTCTCGTTCGCCCTGTCATTTTTCACCGGAGGTAAACTGTGGGACGTAAATTGTGGCTCGACACTGACGCATCGAGAGTACAGCGCGGGTTATTCCGAAAAATAACGAAAATTGAAACCCGGCTACGTTGAGACGCATCGTGACGCGGCGGGTTAACTATTCGCTTAAACTTCTATGCCCCGTGATTTGTCGGGAAAGGTAAGCGAGGAGTAATTTGCCACTCGACTTGTCTCCTCACTATCCGCGATATAAACCCTGACATCAGTCAGGAATATACGAAGCCGGTAAAAGCGCAGATCGGCCGAGTGGCAAGAGTCGCTCGCTCGCTCGCTCGCTCGCTCGCTCGCTCGCTCGCTCTTCTCTCGTGGAGGAAACTAGTGATGGGCGATAACACTTTATGAACTCGATAGGGAGATTAGTAACGAGTAATAAGTCGCCTGCTCGCGTTACTCCGATCGAGAAAGATGTGTGGCCATTCTCTTTTCTTTCTATGAAGATTAGTTCCGTTTTAAAATCGCCGTTTGAAAAACGTAATTATATTGAATATCGCATTACAATGATTTGAATCTTAGCTAGAACTCTTAGCTGCCGACTCATTCGAAGTCGATAGGAGGAAAGTCAGGTGATAACGGGGGGATGCTTATGGTACGGGTGAATAAATAACATGCTACTTAGCTTGCCTCTTTTACTGACTTCGTGTAAATCTGGCATTAGCGTTATCCTTATCATTGAATAAAAATCTAAATGAAGAGCTATAAGGTTGCGGCGAAATTGTACGACGTACAATACAGATTTTATCTTTCTCACTGTGTGAGGTATACAATGTAATTTATCTGTTACTGGAATTTTTTTTATTTAGCGAGATACCCCGAATAGGTAATTCTCATCTAGTGGATCGATTTACGCCGTCATCGTCTATTATTAATATAGAAAAATGTAGCACAGCGATTGCAGAACTTCTCTCTGACTAACTGGCACGGTCAATTAGGGTAATTACGACGGTAAATAATTACGTCGCGGCAGGAAAACGCCTTTTAATAATACAAGTCCGGCGCAGCGGCTGGAATTTACCGAGAGACCGATGAGAATTCGTTTAGCGGTAAGATCGTCGAAGCACGACTGTCAATTCCCTCGGGAGAATGACGATTATTAATTTTGTCATTTGGCCGCGTCGCGGAGATTACCCTGATTGGCCCTACGTACTCTCCTTTTGAAAGAGTCGCTCGCTCGTTTCATTCATGCGCGCCTCTCGCGAGTGACCGCGGCGGCTGCGTGCCGTCGACGCCGACGCCGACGCTACCGCCGACGCCGACGCCGGCGCCGCCCGGGAGGCGATGTCCGCGCGCCACGTACGTTTTCTCATCCTGTGCACGAGGTCGATCGGCGCGGCCGGCGTGCGCTTGACAGCTCTTTCCCGACCGGCCGTCGCTTTATATCCGGTGTCCCCGAACGTGTCTCCTCGGAGCAAAATTTCGCCGGGCCCGATGGCGTCTCGATATTTTAGCTTTAAATGCGAATGACCGATGACGGGATGAATTGAGTTCGTTATTTGTTAGATCCACGTGAATGTGATGGCAAATCGTGCAAATCGCGAAGTTGCATTCTGGATCAGAGATCTCAAATATTCTAATATAATTAATCATCAAATTATTAAGATTATATTACTTAAATTCTTTGTAGATTTAGAAGAGGAGTAATTTTTTCAGCCAGTATTAAGGTTATTAAGGTTATTAAAAATTTTAAAAACCCTAGTTTTATTATATATATATATATATATATATATATATATAATCTATATAAGGATTTGAATCGAAATGACATGAAATTTCTTAAATATTTTAAATTTAATCTGAATCTAAATTATATTAATAAAATCAGGACGATTTAAAATAATTAAATGTTTTTTAGAACAAGTTAACCGATGATATTACTCGATAGACAAAATTTTAGATGTTTAATGATTTTCTTTTTGTATTTATACATCTGTAAATCCAGGACAATTGCTTATATCGCAAACTACGTTATTTTTTTAACGAGCTTGCAACGTAGCAGTTCAAAGCTATATCTTTCCCCTTTATAATAAATCGATAATCAAATTTTGAAATCGATTATCCCCATGAGAAATTGATTAAAAATTTTTTTTACAACGGCAAGGCACAGGGTGAAAATAACACTATAAAGTATCTGGAACTCGTGCTTTGTCTTAATAATGTCGGAATGAAATTGAGATAAAATCTCAAAAGCTATCCGATTTTAACTTTTGATATATTAACTTTTGCATCGTGGATCGGTAACACGAGCACCAGTCCTTTTGTGTTGCGCCGACCGACGGCGGATATCAAATTCATCTCGCTTATGATCTGATGAGGAGCCGTCGCACGTTAAGCGCATTGTTTTCCCCGGGATACTTTTTGCGGTTTCGTGATTCACGCGAATCACGTGTGTGCATATTTACTCATCTATTCTGCGAAACGAAACACTAGCTGGGCGTGCTGTTGCAACGTTTTCTTATCAGATTTATCTCGATCGTGGAAGATTCTTTTTCTCGAGTTGTGAATTGAAATTACACCTTTTGTAGATCCTACCCTTTTCTAGTATGTCAGTATTCAGTATACATATCCGATTTGGACGCTTATGTATTTCGATGTAACTTTAATCAAACATACAAATCTTTTTTTGTATATATTCACTTAAAAACGACAAATTTATACAATCGTGGAATTAAGATAAAATATTTGATGAAATCAATTCGAATAAAATAGAAAAAAGTCAGTGCGATCTTTTCCTTTATCTAAAATTGCATAATAAATTCCTGAATACATTTTCAAAACCTTTACTTTATCTTTACATTAGATATCTTTGCAACATAATAATTAAAATCTAACTCTTATTGAAGTAATATATTAATCTGTATTAATTATTCTTGTGAAATTTCTAAATGTATGCAAAATGTATCGTTAGACTTGCGATTACTTAGAATTCTTACAAATCAATTTTTATATGCGGTTAATTGAACATCATCTTATTACTCATTTGTGGATTAATTCCGTAATCGGTTCATAATCATCTCATTATCGACCATCATTACAGCCGTGCTCTAATTTAATCATGAATTTTCTCGGAGATAACTGATCCCTGAAGTGAAAAATTGCTCACAATGTTCATCATTGTTTTACA